CAAAGGCTGTGTTGTGCGTGGTGTCAGAAATTAAACTCAGAATTGAGTAGAAACAGGTTAGAGAACACATGGAAACATACAGTGATAGTCTTTATGCCTTTAAAAAGCTAATCTGAAACCCACACTGAAATGTCAGGAGATAAGAAATACCTATCAGCATGCACACACTTTGGATATGCAGGAAATAATTTGGCACAAGGTTTAGACATTTCAGATGTCAGGGTTGAGCAATCTGAGCACTGTAATCTAGTTACTTCTTCAGAATGGCACACACAAATGCCCCAGAAGAAATCAAAGCAAATTTTCTACATTTTAAGAATACGCTACTAAAATTTTTGTGTGTCAAAGGGGAATTCATATGGAATGTCATATGACACCCATGCTTACAGTGTTCCAACCTGTGCTCCGGCTGTGCTGCAACATAACATACACAGCGGCATTGCACAGGGCAGGTGGGAATCCACAGGCCTCAGCACAGGCAAAGCAGACAGTCTCAGCAATATTTTTTCTGATATTTGTCATTTGGCTGTAATAGGACAGATTTGCTATTGCACTTTAAGGTGTACAGGAACAGGACCAGACTGGTTGCTAATTTGAATGATTTTAGTTGTGCATCCAATGCAAATACAGCTATTCACCAAACAATCTGTGAGTGAAAAGGTTCAGAGCTTTGCATCAGCTTTGCCATTTGTGGATCTAGCAACTAATTGCTTGACACAGCTTTAATTAAAACATTACAGGTATAGACTTCATATTTCCTAACTAGGGCAGATTGAAAAGTTTGACATGGTAGTAGAATAAAGAGATTATCCCACAAATCCTTGGGTTTAGAACTTTATAGACAAATGTTTTATTTGTAGGAATAAAAAGGTTTGTATTCAGTGGTTCATCTAGAATAATAAATTACTTAGATTTTCTGAAGGAGGTCTTGAGGAAGACCACTCCCAAACTGATCATGTGTCTTTAAGTAGCTTGAATTGTAACATGTAATTTAGAAGCACTCAAAAAGCCTAATTCATGTGAGCCAATCCACCATTATATATCCAGTATCATGTGTGTCTGAGGCTTGATAGACCAGTAAGGTAAATGATTCACTTGATTTACTTATGTAGGTGGTTAGATTAGTGGTGCTAGTAATTCCGTAGGCTCTGTCTACACTGTTCTCTGTAATATTAGGATGCTGCCCCACCCAGTTTACTGTCCCAGCTTGGAGCTGGCAGCTCATGGTGCCACCTACCCTGGAAGGAAGTCTGTGACCTAATCTCTGTATGGTGGAAGATTCCCAATGCAGCAGCTTAGCAAAGGCTTTCTAAATCAGCAATGGAATGAGAAGACTGCTGTTTGGTTGGTCTGGCATGATTAAAAGCGGACCAACACCTCGTTCCAGAACAAGGTCAGGAAATTAAAGGAGGTCAGAACAAGCCAAGAATAGCACGTCGTGCTTAGGGGCTTTGCAGAGGGAAGCATTCTTGGCTGAGGTATGATGTTTTCTGGGAGGATTTTAGCAGGGAGGCACACACCTGTGACATGACACTGTATGTAGTGGGGAGAACAGGGAGGGGAACTCATTGCCTAGTGAGAGGTACAGGAGAACCTGATTTGTCACAATTTTGCTTTTAGGCAATTATATTTATCAGGCAATCTTTAGAGCTGTCATCCCCATTCCTAGTCACTGACTCAGTCATTCAATATTCTTGTAGCCTTACTTCATTCCTGCAAGATCACTGGTTCTGTAATTGTCAGTGGGGAGTGGGGAGGGAGAGAGAGGAGCCTGCAATGGCAACTGTAGGACTCCTATGCCAGATGGTATTCCCCCATCTGAGGGCAGGACAGCATATGGCATTCAGGAACCCAGGCATGCTAGAGACACACTGCACACATTTAATGCCTGCTGATGGGCACCATGATCATTGTAATTATAAGAGGTGTCATTCCATCCTATTCCATGGCCTTATGTGATCATCACAAACAATTAATTCATGGATATCAGCTCCTGAGTTAGAATGGTGTTAAAATGCATGCATAACTTTAAATGTGGTTGCTAAGTCAGTTTGTTTTGGGCCCTATATCAGGCTTTGCATGCATTTCTAAAAAATAACAGGAATTTATTCGGTAGAAAGCAACAAAATATTGATGAGCTCCAGAATGATTTTTCAGCAGGTGTCATTTTATCCAGAGCATTTATCTTGTGCATGGTTAGGAAGTGAATTAGGATGGGGAAGAGGTCATTCGCTGAGAAATGTCTATAATCACCTTTCATGTTTTGTTCCAGAAGAGGACTGAAAGCAACAGACAGTAGCGCTGAACCTGACCCAGCCTACCTTCCCTGCTCACACACGTTTTTTAACTGCATCTCATTCATCTTGGCTAGAACAGGCACCCAGTAAGGCTATTGCATGCAATTAAACACAGTCAGAATTTCACTCACTGTGTAGTGAGTGACTTTGCATATGACCTTCACAATACAATGACAAAAGAAATGCAGGCATGCAGGGTAGCCTCAATCATAGTTAGGTTTGGATCCATTCAAACCTGTTTGTCACAGGCAGATAAAATGGTAAAACCACTTTTAGATCCTGTAACTGGGTGTATCTGCAGAGGGGGAGTGAAGGGGCCGTGCTACTCACTGTCAATATCCACAGATTTAGAGCAGCAGGTATAGGCTGATTTATAAAACAGCTCTCCTTCTCCTAGGCTCATACATGTATACTTTCATTTCCCAACTTCACTTCTCCTCACAGCAGCTCTATCTACTTGCACTTTCTTTGAGGTGAATTTACTGACTTTTCCTGCTACAACTGATACGTACTACTTCTCTTAGCTACGCAACAGAACACAGGGTATGGAATCACATGCATATTCTATCACTGCTGTATACACTGAAATAGTAATTGGTCTAAAACAGTGCATTAGATAGATTGCACTGTAGTTAAAAATAATATATGCAAAATACTCAGAAGTAATTGCAACAGCCAGATGTAATATAAAAGGAAATAAAATTTTTATGTTCTTGGATGATCATACTCTTACTTAAGACGGGGTTGGTTTACACTTACTATGCAGGGTTATTCAAACTTTCATATGGTTCCTATTTCCAGAAGAAGGTAAGATAGCTTAAGCAAATACTTTCCTAATTTATTCTTAAAGAATATGAGCATTTTAAAGTAGCATATGTTTTAAAAATGAAGCAGAACTTTAAATAACTGTGATCTGCTTCTGTTTGCAAACTGAGCTATCACAGCACTCCAGCTTCTTCTCAGTACAATTTTTAGTGCTTTTACCCTAAACCATCACATAATCACATTTGGAACTGAACTGTACGTTCTCCTACAGACTGATTTTCTTATCACTCTGCTTGTTTCATTTCCACAGCCTTATTTTGCTTTAACTAATATGTTTAAAAATAAGGATTAATTGAAGAGGAGAGGCTAAAATCCCTTCTTGTACCTTGCTTTTCAGGATCAGGCATTTACTACAAAAAACTTCTACTGCCCACAAAGGAAAGTTCTTCCCAGTCATTCACCTATTTGTGCATCTTGTCTGCAATCAAGAAATATTCACTGGCTCTGCAAGTCCATCCAGTGGCTACATATGGGAATTGCATATTTTAGAAGGTTAGTTCCAATTTTGTGCAATTTAATTTAGTAAGTAGTGTAGTTAATATTATTACTGGAAATAAACATGAACCAAAATGTGCAATTGGAATGCTCCCAGCCTTTGCTGCATCTGTGAAGTACTCTTTGAATAATACTGAAAATTGATTTGCTATTGCAGCAACAAGAACAAAATAAAAGCAGATGATTATTTATTAATATTTAAATTAATCACCTACTTATTGTTAATTAATTAATTGTTAAATTAATCACCTACTTACTGTTACAGGAACAGAAACCTGCTGAGTGAAAAGCTTTAGCTTATTTTCATTCTGAAACTGGGACAACTGAGGTCATTGTGAATACAAGCTCCTGTGAGAGTTGTCCTCTTAGATCTCAGCATGCTTGTGTTTGTACTAAAGCAGACCTGCTTGAAATTACATCTTCTGATTATTAAATACGGGTTTTGTTACATGCCAGAAGATACTAGAAAAGTAATTTAAAAAATGAATGTAAAAGAGGACAAGATCTGAACAATGTGTTCCAGAAGTCCCATTAAGAATTTATATACAGACGATTTACAGAAAATCCTACTGAAGTTCAGCGTAAAATCTTGAAATGGTAAATGCTCCATCCCTGGCAGTGTTCAAGGCCAGGTTGTACAGAGCCTTGGGAGACATGGTCTAGGGTAAGGTGTCCCTGTCCATGGCAGGAGGATTGGAACTAGATTATTTTAAGGACCTTTCCAACCCAAACCCAAATTCTATGATTCTATGATGGGTCGTCAGACCAACCAGGCTCACTGATTGTTTGAGAATCTACCATTAGATGTAGCATTTCCCCTTGACGACAGCAGTTTGAGCCTCAGTGCCTGGAGCCTTACTTCTAACATCACTTCCATTATAGCTATCAGTCAGTGGTGGAGTGGTAACTGTGGAGAATATCAATGTGATACTTTTACCAGTTACAAAAAAAGTGTGCTAAAAGCCTTTTAATTCTCTGTTCTTGACACATACAGGCTTCTAAAACGTTCACCATCATTATTTGCTTTTTTCTTCCCATGAAAGTAAATGAATTTTTAATTTTGCCTTTTAGAGTGAATACATTATGATACAGTGTACATGATAGCCTCTTATTTGCCTAGGGGTGCCCTGCTTCCATTAGTCCATAGGTTGGGAACGCATAAAGAAAGATATTTATAACACCAGTCTAAATCTAGCTTTCCTTAATTTTTAAGTGACATTCTTCATTTTTCAATCTATATAAATAAATTTTACCCTAGAAAGTTTCAGAAGTGTGTCTGAGACACTGTTGTGGCAGGTACTCTGTAGATGTTGAAATAACCATATAATAACTCTTGTGTGCTGTGCTACAACAGTCATTGTGCAGCAGGAAAATCATGACATAATGGCCATCACAGAAATGTGGTGGGACAATTCTCATGGTTGGAGTGCTGCAGTGGATGGCTACAGGCTCTTCAGAAGGGATAGGCAAGGAAAAAACATATTTTGTTGCTAGAGATGAGCTGTGCTAGGGCCATGCCATACCAGTTTTTATTTGCTTCCCTTTTTTGTCCCCTGGGAAGTACATGACACAGTTGTGGCTCATATCCTGTATCTTCTAGACAGTAGCTGTAACTTGCTACCATGATGTTCATGTAAACTTTGATGTTTAAGGAGCTGCAGTATTTAACCCTCCCTTTCCTTCAGCCACCAGTTCCTTTCACAGTACCTCGTATCTGCTAGTGCTTAGGATGCTGAGCTCCGTCTCACTACAGCAAACCTGTATACCTCTATAACAGAATTAAGCAAGGGACACAAATTTGGTAGGCTACTAGGTAATATGCTGGCTTCTCTTTGGTATGGCAGTGAACTGAGAGAAGTGTAGTGTTCATGTTCATTCCACAGTGTCCTACAGATTGGTTTTATCAAACTACTCAGTCTTGCAAGTGGTAACTCTTTGTTAAACTAATTTCATTAAACTGTCTTTTTAAGTTAGGACAAAATTGTCTGTCTAACTAGCTGTAAGCTGTAAAATCTCCTGTTGTCCAAGGTGGCAGGCACAATACTCTTAGTAGTACAAGTTATGTAGCCTGGGTTGGGCACTGGGGCATTAAATCTGTGTCTGTTATATATGGTTCCTTTCAGAATAAGGCGGTGGCAGTGGAACAGTTGAATTTATGAAGCACTGTGGTTAAATAGAAGGAGTGAAACTCCACCATACTTGATCTGGGTTTTTATATGACTGCTGAATATCATCCATGAATAAAAAAGGATGAGTAAGGACACCAAAACTAGTCCCACAAGTCTTAAGTTACTTAAGACAATTGAGTAGTCATTGCTGAAGGCTGTTGTAGGACACTGGTGGCTGCATTCTGTACCTCCCTTATAATACTTCTTAAAAAGTGGTAACAGTGCATAAGTTCACAAAAAACATTCCAGGACCTTCTGAGCAGTGTGTGCTGTTAAGGCTGTCACAGGCGTTGCTCTTATAGTATAGAGTGTTAACTGATGGTTTAAATGCTTTTACAGCTGTCGACTTCTTCAACCAGATCAATACGCTGTATAAAACCATTATGGACTTCTGCACAGAGGAGTACTGCCCTGTAATGTCTGCTGGCCCAAAGTAAGGTCTTTTTTCACTTGTTGAAAATGCAATTTGCTAGATGATTTTGCATTTAAGAACTCAATACTAGCTCAGTCAAATGCCAGAGATAAGGTTACTTCTGTGGGTGGAGAGGATGTCCTCTCTTATAACATGTGGAGGGAATTAAAACTGGAACTTTTAAGGGAGCGGGGAATGAAAGGTGGTTTTTTAAGGTGTTTTTTTGTTGTTGTTGTTTTTGTTTTTCTTAGTCCTGGGAAGTAAACTATTTCCAAACCAATTTTTTCTGTTGTTTTTTTTTTTTTTTTCTCAAATGTTAATTAGGGCTTTTTAATTTAAGATCTGAAGTTTTTATTGGCAAATATTCACTTATGGCTTACCAAAATCTTTTTTTAGGTGTTTAAATGGGTACTGTAGAAATAAATTGGCTACAGATTTTAGTAGAATCCCCTATCCTGTGCCTCAGTGAGGTTTAGGTTTCACTTCTTTGATTCTTGCTTATGCTTTTGTGCAGACATCCATCATCTGTGTTTTCTCTTGTTCTCCAGCTGCTGAAGTGTCTTCCAAAGAGGAAAAGACTTTCATTTCTAAGACAGTGGCAAGGGAGGGCGCTGCTTTCTTCTAATAAACAATAATGAAACCAAGTCCTCTCCTCCACTTCCTCCTGTTACTGTCTAAAGCCAGTTAATTGCTAGTGGAGAGCTGGGGATGGACCAAGGCTGCTGCTGGGAAGGCAAGATGGAGAGGACAGGAGCTTTACGAGGTGGAAGCAGCTTGATGGACCAGGAAAGGCTTTGGCACTACATTCCTGAACTAAAAATGGATGATGTCAAATGCCAAACCAGTGTGGGCAGGCAGATCTGCTGCTGCAGTGTGGCTATGGGTGAAGTACGAAAGGAGTGCAAGTTTTCCAGTATGCAAAAGAACTTGTTCAATACCGTATCCTGTGGTCTCCTTTGTGCTTTGGCATGCGGAGCAGACTATTTATTAGATAAGAGCATAAGAATATTTCTTTGCTTTATTGTTTGCCTGCTGAGAAGCAGTTATTTGGGTGTGGAGGTTAATTATTAAAGGTTTAGCTATCTGGTTGCCAGACTATTACTTCTCTCCAAAGAGACTGATAACCATTGACAGAAATATATGATCTACTCAAATAGTCATGAAGCAGGGTAGAAAAGAGATGCTTGATGCTTGAAAATGCATTCTGACAAGGTTTTTATTAAGTGATCTTGTTCTTTAGTTGGAGTGAGTGTTTCTTGCTTTCACTTAGAACATTTTCTTTCTGGGAAGTACTGCTGGAGAACCTGTCAGCATAAAACCACTAAGATTTATGGGGTGTTTTTTTTTCTGGTTCTTACCTCTGTTTCCTCTGCTTTTCTGGCTCAAGCTATGTTAATTGAAGAGGCATTGAGCTTTAGGTGCTCATTGGTGCTTCTAGGCTGAAGGTTGTTGTCTACTCACATCCATTGCTCCATCCTCACCTATTTTGGATAAAAGAGTATGAATTAGCTGAAACAACTTAAATGAGGTTGTTTGAAACAGGTCAGGCAGCTACAGCATGAGTAGCTGGGGAGAACCAAAAGCAGCAAGCACTCTGTGGCTTTAAAGTCTGATTTTTGTGTTCCATTGGAGAAATATTTATGGCTGATGTCTTGAGAAAGGGTTGTAAGGTGCTGGTGCATTCAGAGGTAACTGTTCAGAGTTGTGGCTCAGTCACAATTTTCAGGGTACAACTGACAAACTTGTAGCAGTCTATGGAGAAGTTAAACCGGATGTCTGAAGTGAAAGGGTAACAGAGTGGAAGTGTAATGTTCCCTGTATTCATTGCTGGGTGCTGGTGTTTTGTCTTCAGAACCCCTTTAAGAGGGGCTGTTCAAGACTCTTGTAAGGAGTGCTGACTTAGCTTTTATCAGGGGGCAGGACATTGAGTTAGTTCAGGATTGACATAAAGATCAAGAACATCTCTCCCTCTCCTGCTGTACAGCGCCTTGTCTAACAGTTTGAATAAAGTAATGGTTTAATTTGTCCCAAAACATGATTATTCAGGGTAATGGTCCATTCTTTTCACTTCAGTAAAGACCAACCATTTTTTACCCAAACAAACCTAGCTGTTTTTTGGAACCTTCTTGGTTCGTGCTATTCTTACAGTTGTAGGATCACCATCAGTGCAACAGGCATGATGATAAGTTAAGAACCTGCACAGAAGTACCATGTTTATTAACCAGCATTGGGCGATGGGGATTTTCTTTATTTTCCTCCCTAGTTACAAGTGTTCAGTAATAGCCCAAAGGAGGGACGTGGCTCTGCGTTTTGCAAAGCTGGATGTTGGGAATGGGCTGTGTGTTGGAGCCGCTGGTCCTGTGCAGGTTTATACATAGGGGTATTTTCTATTGTGAGAAGCACAGTTGGGTTTTCTGTTTATAGGTGGCAAATAACTTGTGTTTATTAGCATAAGAGAATTCTGCCAGAGTTGTTGGAGATTCTTAGCTTTTCCCTTGCACTTGCTGGAGTGAACTGTGTACTTTTTTCCTCTATCCTTCACATGGTGTTTTGTTTGCCCTTAAGAACCTCTATTGAGCTGTTAGAGTTTTCTAAACATATATTTTCTGTAGGGAAGCTGCATATCACAATAAAGTTCATTAGCTTCTGTCACCAAAACAGTAGGTGTCTGCTCACAGGCTTCAGCTAGAAATGTGATTTTCACCCTTCATTTCCTGTAGCAGTTCAGATGATTCTAACTGGGGGAAATCTTTCTCTGTGTGTGGTTTTCGTTTTTTCTCTAGAGCTTGTTAATGAGTCCTTTTCTGACATTCCTTCCTCTAAAAAATACAGAGTTAACCCATAGTGTTGGGGGTGGGGAGAGAAGGAGGCTTCTTAGGGGTATGTGCTATTTGGATGAGATTTTTAGTGTGCAGTTTAGTTTGTTGTCTCAGGCTGAATGTGGCACCTCAGCTGAGTTTTGATACCTGTCCTATCAGTATCAGTATTAGGTAGTGCTGGGTGGTGAGGAATACTGACACGTTGTGGTCTGTTTAGTGTATATTGAAATTTTGCATGTTCAAGATACAATCTGAAAATGTTTCCAGAGCCTCTGATTTGTTGCTGTTAGAAAAATGGGAACTATTTATACCACTGGGAGCAGCATGCTTGTGATTACTTGTAAAATTGTTTATCATGACAGTGTTCTCCCAGGTACTGTTCTGACAAAACTGAATTGGTTAAACAAAACCAGGAGCCAGATTTAGCAGACAGGGTGAAGCTTTGCATAATATGACATGTGTGATCTTTAAAATGGAAGAACTTCTGCAGTGTCCACACAGTACAAACTAGAGATAGCAAGGGAAGGTGGTTGCAGCCCAGTAGGTAAAGTTTCACTTTAGAGATCAGTCAGGTGCCTTGACCAGTTTGAGCACTGGAGCTGAGCTTTCATGTGTGTGAGCATCTCATGTAATTAATTGATGTTTCACTTCAACAGGTTGTAATGGTTTTCTCCTGGAGGGGGGAAGCTTTAGAAGAGACTAAGAAGCTATTGGCCATCCAGGACTTGGAAACCTACTCATACAGCACCTTTTGGCATACAGGAATGCAGGTTTGACCTCAGGCTGTCATGTGCAAATTGGCAGGAGATTTGCACCCAAGGTGAATGAATTGTGCTGTAAAGGACAAAGTTTTTGAAGGCCTTCACAGACTGCAGAAGAGGACCTGGCTAAGGCAGGATTACAGTGGGGAAGGTGGGGCACAGAGCAGCTGCAGATGACTCGGAGCACCTGGACTGTAGTTTCAAGGAAGGGCTGTGGGAGGGTGTTGGGTAATGAGGACCAGGGAGAGCAGCCTTCCAGGCTTCATGTGCATGATTCACATGTGTTAAGAAATACCTTCTTGTTGTTGACCCAACCCAGATATGAGTACCACTGGGCAGATGGGACCAACATAAAGAAACCAATTAAGTGCTCTGCACCAAAGTACATTGATTACCTGATGACTTAGGTCCAGGATCAGCTGGATGATGAAACGCTATTTCCTTCTAAAATAGGTAAGGTAAATAAGTAAAATTGAACAATGTGTTTGGATTACAGTTGTACAGGATTATTCAAGTCTTAGAGCTTTGAAAGATCTTCTAAATGACTGACAAATAGAGCAAGTTTAAAAATTTACATTACATATATGAAAGCACTTGTATCACTAAAGGTAAAATTGATGTTGTAGTACATGAACTCTGAACCATGTGTTAATACTTGCATACATAACATGTTATTAACTATCTGTAACAGTTCTCAATGTGGGAAGTACTGTTTCCATTTAATAACCCTGTTAATCAAATCTGTTGATTTTACATTTTGAACAGTAGGTTTTTACCTTAGAAATAACTACATAAGCAGTAATTGGTACAAACTGGCAGCTTTCTGATGCAGGGAAGATGTTTGGTCCTCAGGAAGAACTTCTCCTAGGCTTTACCTCCAAAGAAGCTGAATGGCTTCTTTGATCTTAACAATATATTTTCAAGTGAAAATGAAAGATGTACTTTTTTGAGAGGTTTCTTTCAGAAAAGCAGGAGGGAAATAATGATCTGCCACCAGTTTGGAAACAGTAACAAGAATGAAACCCTGCTTCTAGAGGCGTGAAGGACTGTTCTAAAGCTCCTAACTGGCAGGTTTCCAGTCCACCATTACTCTTAGGCTTATGATCATTGTGAAAAAAGGAACAGAGATCTCTTAATTGCTTTTATTTTGTGGAGAGTTTCTGAAGCATTTGACACATTGTCAGTAAGCCTCTTCAGAAAAACGGGGTCACCTGTCATGATCAAGGGGCAATTGTTTTTACTTGTAGTTAAGCAGATAAGCAGAGAAGGCTTTAAGAAGATGCCTTTCTACACGGTCACAATTCAGAAAGAGACTTAAAGGCCAGCAGTGGGTAACCAACTAAGTATGAACTTCCCAAGTGATGCAGCAGCGGGTGAAGAAAGTATAATGTCCATGTAAGCAGAGTAAGCTTAAACAGGAGTATGAAAATTTTACTGCTAGGATTTTAAAGTGTTGGTGGGATAATGATTGGCATAGAGCACCAGCTTGGACCTCTGGCCTTCAGACAGGACTTCAGCAGTTGGAAAGACTGCAGAAGAACTGAGCTGACTGGGGAAACTGTTCCCTGATGAGGAGCTAGACAGGTTTAATATTTTTAGATGTTTGCTACATACCGTTTTTAGCCTGTGGATGTGTCAACTAAAGAGATCATTGCTCCCAGGAGCTGGTTGCTGTTTCCTAACCAATTTTAATCAAACTTGTGCACTGACAAAGATCTGCTGTTAGGTCCTTTTCATAGAGATGACTGAAAAAAGCATGTTTCAGAGTACTTAGGCAGTTACGAAAGCATTCAGTAGCCTCTGGCTAAGGGATGGTGGTGAGCAGGGTGGAAACAGGACTCTTTTGCTGGGCACAAGACAGGTGGAAGAGAACCTATTTCTGATTCCAATTCAGCCAAGAGAAGCGTTAAAACTCAGTGGCTGATACCAGAGGTGATTTCAGTTACCAGCTCGAAGATATCTGGTGTCCCTTAGAGTGTATACCCTGTGGTATCCTGAACACATGCACAGGGCCACTGATGAGGCTGAGAGCCTGCAGGAGGCTTCCCTTTTTCAGCACTGGCACTCAGAGGCCAGGTAGATACTTGGAGAGCACCTACAAGCACATTAGATACCTTTGTTCTGGTATCTGAATCCTGCCAGAATGGGAGGAAGATCCTCTCTTAGAGGAGGCTCTTCAGGGAACTCAACTGAGGCATAACAAGGTTTAGTAGCTGGAAGCTGAAGCGAGAAGGCTTCAGTGTAGAAACATAGTCAGATTTGTCTTGGTAAAAGTTCAGGAGCTACTGGTCTGCTGAAGGGAGGGAAACCTCCCCTGTGGTCTTTCAGTGAGCTTGTGGCTGTGCTTCAGCCCAAGTACATGGTGTAATTTCCAAATTAATTGCTGAGTGAAACAGAACAGCCCTTCTTGTGCAAGACATGCGGTTGGGTTAGAGTGGCTTTCAAAAGACATGACCATGATATGGGAGTTGAAAAATAAGCCGTCTGTTTTCTTACTTCTAGGTGTACCATTCCCAAAGAATTTCATGTCAGTGGCAAAGACAATTTTAAAGCGGCTCTTCAGAGTTTATGCTCACATTTATCACCAGCACTTTGATCCAGTGATCCAACTACAAGAAGAGGCACACCTCAACACTTCTTTCAAGCACTTTATATTTTTTGTTCAGGTACGTGTGGCAGGAGCATTATGGTTACAGGAATATTGTGGAAGAAGTGAAGTTCCAAAGTAATGCCCCTTCAGTTTTGTAACAGCTGGTATGTTCATAGGAGACTCGATACCTCCAGGACCCTAAGCTAGTATCTTATCCCATGTTTATATATATTTACTGGTAGAAGCTTTCAAGGAACGTAAAAGTTCTGTTTCCTATAAAATTGAATACTAAAAAGTGTTCCCTATCAAATGATACAGTAGAACAGGAATTCCTAACAAAAGAAAGAGGGAGGATGGCATCAGAAGCCAGACTGAAAAGCTACAAAGCTTCAAAGCTACATTTTTCTCTCTCTTTTTTTTCCCCTCTCCCCTTTCCTCCCCTCCCTTTAAAAGAAAAAGAGCATCTTCTTAAATTTCCTTCCTTTAAGTGGAAAAAAAGCACTTCAGGCAGTTGAGCACTTCTATTCAGGTAATGGCAGGCAGGCAGAAAATACTGCAGTGGCGAAGCCTGGGCTCTAAAAGCCTCCTATCAAATAATTTCTGTCTGAATAAAACTTCTCACCAGAGCTGTATGTATAAAACCCTGTCTTTCTCCTCATGCTTGTTGCAGGAATTCAACCTTATTGATAGAAGAGAACTTGCACCTCTTCAGGAACTGATTGAAAAACTCACCTCTAAGGACAGATAAAAGGAAAAGGATTTCTTGAACTCACTTATTTCTTTAAGCAACCGTGTGGTATTTGGTTTTTGTTCATTTGTTTTTAAAAAAAAAAACAAAACAACCCCCTGAGCTGTTACTTCAAACAGCCAAATCCACTTTCTGTGCTTTTATTCGGGAAATATTTTCTCTGTTAGTGACACGTGGTAAATAGCTTTTTTTAAAAAAATCTTATTTTTCATCATTATTATTCATTGTGGAATTTTAGCAGGTGCTGAGTGTTTGCAAAGGAAATGTGCTTGGTTAGGGGATTGACTCTGCTGGTGGATGGGTTCTGTATTGTGTCAGTGGTAGCCCATTCTTATGAAGTCCCTAAAAGACTTGCTTACATTCTCTAAGTGCCTTGGCAGACTCACTTCTGAGGTGCAAAGCACATACAATACTGAACATTGCTGGAAACAGAAAATACAAACTAACACCCAGGACACTTACTTGTTTTAGGAAAAAAATATATATGCTTACACTAAAAAAAAAGCCATAACTTGCTGAAATCAGTGATCTCCAGCTTTTAATACAAATACCTGTCTTATTTTTTTAGAGATTAATATAAAATTTTCAGAAGTAGATATTTCTTATAAAGAAGAGCAATGGTGGAGTTCTTGTTGCTAAAGCAGAGTGATGAAGGTGTGTCAAAATGACAACTTGTGCTTAGCAAGTAGTTACATGTCTGTTGCCATTGCTTTGGGCTTTTCATAGTTGCTTTTATTTTTTTAACAGGGAAGCATCCACTGGGGTCTGTCACTTTGGTGAATCGAGCCCGTGCGCGCCAGATTCGAGCGCGGCGGCCGTTGTTTCCGTTGGCGGTTTCGCGCGCCGTTGTCCCCTCACACCGCTGCTGGCTGCCATGGCCGCTCCTCCCAAGCGCGGACGGCTGGAGGGCAGGATCAAGAAGATCGCGGTCGAGGGCAACATCGGTGAGTCTTGCCCGCCGCCATCCCTCCCTACTTTCTCCCTCCTTACTGGGCTCTTCCTCGGCCTTACTCTGCGAAAAAGGCGTTTCATGAAGTAATGAGGTGTGAGTCAGGCCGGCGGGGTGTGTTGTGCTGACAAGCCCGCCGGTAGCGTTGATAACTTTGTGTTGGCAACGTAGAAAGTAATGAATTGATGCTATAAAAATGGCAGGATGGAGGCGCGGGGGTAGGAGGGGGAAGCTTTCTACTTCAGGTTTTAATTTATGCACCTCATTAAAAATGCTTTTGAGTCTTGGGCGAGGCTTCTTTCACAGCTTTCCAGGCTGTAGGGTGGAACAGCGGTGTCGGTGCAGGCTGTCAGGTGAAACTTGTCATGTTCAGGACTCCTAACGAGCAGAAGCCCGTTGTGAAAAGCAGGAGTAAGGGACTGTTCATAATAAGAAACTCTCCTCTGTTTGTTGTGGTGGTTTTGAGGATCTTTGTTTTGGGTTTTGTTTGGTGCTTTTTTTGTTTTAGTTTTTTGGTGTTTTTTGCGTTGGTGTTGGTTTTGCGTTGGTGTTGGTTTTGCGTTGGTGTTGGTTTTGCGTTGGTGTGTTGGTTTTCCAACAGGACCCGACTTGCAGGGCTGTCAGCTCATTTACTGATCCACACTGGCAATCGATAGTGCCAACTCATGGCCTCTGTCAGCTTCGAGTGTCTCTCTTTAAAATTTCCTGAGCTTTTTATTTTTCAGTTGGTGGCAGATTAATGACTTCCATGCTGGAGGAAGTGACTGGTAATGCACCTTGGTGTCTCTGAGAAACCATCCCTTTTGCTCTGTGTTTCTTTCAACATTGCTTGCTTTTCTTCGTGGAGTTTGTTTTGGCTTCCTAAAACAACTTGGAAGGCTGTAACTCCATGCCTAGGACAAGACCACTCAGTATCCTTAGAAACTTAGGACTTGGTGTTCTAATTGCAAATATAACTTTTTATAATGTAGATAATTGAGCTGGCCTGAGACATCTTGTCATTGTTGTTTTGTTGTTGAATTGGCTATTGGTGTGGTATAAAACAAAAAAACCTGATGCTCACTGAATTGGTGATGTGTGGTATTGGATGGTCTCATGCTTGACATCCAGTCAAAAGTACATGAGTGTGGGAGACTTCCTTATGGGACTTGAAACTGGAATTCCATAGTGGTTAAGTAATGCCACTCTTCCTTGTGAAAATGGTTTTAACAGCCACTCCTCCTGGATGCTTTGTCTACAGCTGCAGGGAAATCAACGTTTGTGGAGATTCTCAAACAAGCTGATGAGGAGTGGGAAGTTGTTCCTGAGCCTATAGCAAGATGGTGCAATGTCCAGCCCAGCTCTGAAGAGGATTGTGAGGTATGGCACAAGAAAGTGAGGTTTCTTTCCAAAAACGTATTAAAACCAAAAAAACGCCAAACCCCAGTGTCCTGGGTTTAGCAGTGGCAGTCAGTTTGTGTGATAGATGGTAGCTGGTGAAGTGTTGTGTTAGACTTTTTTCCTGGGAATTTCAGTATTTGAGTTCCTGTTTTTCAGTTAGCTTGGTGAATTGTAGAATAAATGTTATTCATAGTCAGGATATAAATGATAAAAGCTGTAAAAGCCTGTTCTATGTATAAAAGCAAAGGATGGAAAAAAGAGAGTGCTTTTGTTACTTTTACCAACTGTGAATGAGAGGTATTCTCTAGGTACCACGCAGGTCATGCCCGGGGAGGTCTAGGAAATAACTAACTGAAGGACACGGGGTCTTTTTTTTTAGTCAGACTTGTTTTTGTTGGTGGTATCCTACCAAGTTCTCTTGCCTGTTGGATTTTCTCTCATCATCATTATTAATATTATTGGTGGTAGCAGTAGTGATTTGTGTTATACATTAGTTACTGGACTGTGGCATCTTATGTGGAATATCCCATGGGCAACTACATTCTTTTGGCTTCTCCTCCCCATCCCTCAGGCCTGAGCAGGGAAGGCAGAGAAAGGGGAGGAAAGGCTTGAGGACATTAGCTGTCTGGCTGGGTTTAAACCACGACACCCAGTCAAATGTTCTTCTAATTTCAGAAGACAAGTACATGTGATAGAGAATGTCTGTTAGAAAATGCATGTGATAGCAACATTTTTCCTGATTCTTATTTCACTATTTGAGTTCCTCTTACAGTTTGCTTGGTGAATTGTAGAATAAGTGTTATTCATTGTCAGGATGTAAATTATAAAAGCTACAAAAGTCTGTTCTGTTTTACGTATCAAAGCAAGGGCTGGAAAAAGAGGACTAAAGTTACTTTTATCAACTGTGAATGAGCAGAGGAACCCCCTGCTCCAGGTGCCCTGGAAGGTGTCCCTTAAAATGTCTAGGAAATAATGAACTACTGCTAAATGGTTTATAGTGATGTTTTTTCAGTCAGCTACCTGTAATACTGTTGGCAATCCAGCTCCTACTGAGTGGCCACAATCCTGGCTGTGTGGAGCTTTTGCGGAACTGTAGAAGAGTTTTCTTTTGGCAAAAAGTACAGCGTGTTTTGATGAAGTAAATGGAAGCTTTTAATGGAGGTGTGACATTCTGTGGCATGGGGTATTCCACTGGCAGCTGGGGTCAGCTCTCCGAGCTCTGTTACTCCTGGCTTCCTGCCTGCCCCAGCCCGCTTGCTGGGAGGCAGACTGGGAAAGGGAGAAAGCTTTGAGGCTGTGCAATAGCCAAAACACTGGTGGGTTACTAATGCTGTTTTGGCCGCAAACGCAAACCACATCCCTGTATGGGCTGTTATGAGGAAGGTTAACTCCATCCCAGTCAGGTCCAGCAAGCGTAACATAAAATTTCAAATCCATCATAGTCATCCCTGAAGTTGGACTTATTAAACTGCTGTTTTCTTTTCTTGCTAGATGAAAAACCAAAATAAATCCAGCTTTAAGCTCACACTTGTCAGAGTAAAAGGAACATGGATTTTTCTACTGTGTTGTTGACTTTTTATACCGATAGGATTTTTTTTTTTTTTTTTTACCTTGTAAAGACTGATCAAAGTGTTCTGGTACTTGGGCATTTTGGCATTGTGGATTGCAGAGAATTGCTCATTCAGCTCAGTGTCATGGGAGTTGCTCTGGCATTTATGCCTTGTATTACAAAGAGGGTTGAGAGGTAAATGAAGCAGTTGTAAACCTGAAGTAAATGCTGAACAGCTTTAATGTTGTAGAGAAATTCTGTTTCACCTTAACTGTCCACCTTCTTCACTTAAGGTGTTTCTGTATTTGTTAACAACCAGGAGCTGACCACATCACAGAAGAGTGGTGGAAATGTGCTTCAGATGATGTATGAAAAACCAGAGAGGTGGTCTTTCACTTTCCAAACATACGCGTGCCTGAGCAGGATCCGGGCTCAGCTCAGGTCCCTTGATGGCAAGCTCAGGGAGGCAGAGAATCCTGTTGTTTTCTTCGAGCGATCTGTCTACAGTGACAGGTACGTTGGATTGGGGTCCTTTGAGTGAAGATCAAAATTCTCCTAAGTAAAATTACTGGTTAGAGGGTTTGTAGTTTTGCTGTATATTATCAGTTAACAGGATTTGTAGTTTCTTATTCTTTGTGCATATTTTTTTTTTATGCTTTGTATATGCATGTTTCCCTTCAAAGAAAGGAGAGGAACAGGCATCAAGAAGAGTCACAAGCTATTTCTTCCTTTGTCACTTAGCCTTGTTTTTTTTATGGTCCTTGATTACAGGTATAGCTATTTCCTAATGCTCTACCCTTTTTCTGGGTTCAGAAGGTTAGAGTTGATAATTAAGAAAGTTAGATTTGATATCTGAGCTGCCAGTGTTACTGCTTCTTGAGGACACATCTCTGGCCAGCTGCAGTGGACATAGAGAATGAGGATACCAGCTGTTTATTTCCACTCCAAGCCTACCTCAAAGAAGTTGCAAAATTACTATGCTCAGCTTCTTATTTACTTACAGTGCAGTACTTCAGGCAAACAAAGCAAGAACTGTGTTCAAGCTAACTTCTGTTTCCATAACTATTATGTGTTCACAGGTACATCTTTGCAGCCAATTTATATGAGTCTGATTGCATGAATGAAACTGAGTGGACTGTTTACCAAGACTGGCACAACTGGATGAATCAGCATTTTGGTCAGAGGTTGATGCTGGATGGCATCATTTATCTCAGAGCCACTCCCGAGGTGTGACCTTACAGAAAATGAGAGTGCATGTTCTGTGCCTTGCCTGTAAAATTTGATCTTTGTTTATGCTTCCATAGGATTTTTTGTTTGTTTTTTTTTAAGTATAGTGTTTAACTATGATTCAGACTTTTTTTATGATAACAGAATAATGTGCTTGCAGTCAGTTCCAGTAAGGTCACAGTTGAGTGTCACCGCATGTCACTGTGTCTTTGTTTTAGGGATTGCTTCGGTTGTCTCAGGCAAAGAAACAGTTGAAAAATGCTTGTTGAAATGTGATATTCTTAAAATCTTGAGCTACCCTTATCTTTCGCTGTAACAGTCCTAATGATTCCAGTGTAGTTCTGGTTGCAGTATTCCCCTGACAGCTACAGTGCTTGAGTATGACTAATCAGTCTGGAAATACTTAAAAGAATATTCTTTCAAATGTAGCCTGTGTATTTTTAAATAAAATGTAATGATAATGGTTTTCTAATTATAAAACCAGAATATATGACAAGAGTAAGCCAGAAAATACCACTGGAACTGGAAACTACAGTTTCTCTGAGAGCTTTCCTGTTAGGCTTGCTATTGAGAGCTTTTTTTTTTTTTTTTCTTTTAAGTAAAGAACATATATATAAACAGGAAAATACAACAGTTTTAAACAGTTTTGATTTGCTTCTTATTGAGGTTAGGGATGTGTTCAAGACAGGAACAAATGATATATATACTACATGGGAAAACTGGTTTCCTAAGAGTGTGAAATATATAATGAGATTTTGTAATGCCAGTCTGTGCTCTTTTCATGCAATACACAGGTACCCCTTCTTTTAATAAAAAGCTTATTTGAGACTTTCCTTGTAGTGAAGAAATAACATGATACATTTCCTTGAGTCCCCCTTTGATTTTTGACTGTAGTCTGGGTTTCATCAGCTGAACATGGCATGTTGTTTCTATGATAGTAAGATAGTTAGCAAGTTGAATATTCATCTCTGGCAGAGAGTGGCATATCGAACATAGTAGGACGGGTTGGCAAAAGAAACTTTCACAAACTAGACTTCCTCTGCAAAAACAATAGTTTTTTAAATTATTATCTTTTGCCTTTAGAAATGCTTAAATAGGATTTACTTGCGTGGAAGAGATGAAGAGCAAGAAATTCCCATTGAATATCTGGAGAAGCTTCACTATAAACATGAAAGTTGGCTTCAGCATAGGACACTGCGGTAGGGTTTGTTTAATGGTTACTTAGAGATGGATTGATCCTTGTAAGGATATTTCATAGTGTTTTCTCAACCAGTGAAAGTTGACCTTTTCCTATGATATGTAAATTTAAATGCCAGGAATGTTTCTATCTGTAGTTCTTTAGTAGTACTGGCTCCACAGCATGTTAATTATCACTAGGATGCGCAATGTGCCTTGAGTTCTCTTCGCATAGAGCTCTGAATAGCAGAGGATTCAGCTGAGCTAATTCAATACGCAATTAAATTTAACTTTAGGTGCTGGGAAGAGAATGTTTGAGAATCAGTCATGTATCTTAGGTGCCACTGTAAATTCAGGCTGCTTTATATTCAGAGTTTGTGCCTGCAGTTTATATGTGCAGTTCTCATGGGATTCTTAGCAAGGAAAATGCTGGCAGACTTGAATGATGGGTACTTGTTTTCAGCTGCTAACATTTTCTGTGTTCCTATCCTAATACAGAACGGATTTTGAGTATCTCCAGGAAATACCTATTTTAACGTTAGATGTTAATGAAGACTTCAAAGGCAAAAAGGACAGATATGATCACATGACTGAAAAGGTAGGATTTAATAAGCAGAACAAACTGATGAGCAAGGTTTGTTGCCAGCATGTCAAAAGGAACTCAGTACACTTCTTGCATCCTGAAGTGTAGCACTGTTTGAAGTCAAACTAGGCTTAGAACCTGTGGTTCTTTATAGTATTTCCTACATAAAATTTCATTAAAAAAAAAAAAAAAGGAAAAAATGAAGGGAAAGAAATGTTCCAGGCATATTAGGCATATTTGAGAAGACTTTGATTAGTAGCTTTGTTTGTAAATGGAATTTTTATTTTAAATATCTGTTAACTGTTTGAAAGTCTTCCTTGTATTAAGTGTGAAAGTTCTCACCTACAGGACTAGTGAATAAAAGAACTTTGGTTCCAGGTACTGTGAAAATACAGTACAAAACCAGTACAAGGGAAAACTGAAGGGTGAGTTTTCTGAACTCACAGCCAGTGGCAAATGATTTTAGGTTTTGTAGGTCTCTCTAGCTAAACAAAGTAAAGTATGGGCTGCCCCATCCTGGTTCCTGTGTCACAGCAAAGGGCAGTACAGCTGATGCAGGCAGGGATCGTTTGCTCTAAAAATGCACTTCAGTGTATAGCCATCAATTCTAAAATAGTCCTGGGGTTGCATTCGGATAATGAACAGTCTTACAACCTGCTGCAGTATTTTTAGCCTTCTTAATTAAATTGGAACTATCATGAATGTTTTTCCCTTCAGTTGTGTTCATGAAAGTGTTAGTCAAAACCCTCAAAAGCAGGGTCTGAAACTTGAGGCAGTACTTTTCAAATGTAGCTTTGTGCTTTGTTTGGGATGTAATGCAGAATATTCATCAGAAGCATTTTTTAGTTTTATTTGAAGGCATGGAAAAATACTCTTTATTTGATATAAAAAGAGTTCAGGTTTAGGTTTCTGCTTGCATTAAGAAGATGTAATCCTTAGCATGAAAGATGTAATGGATATTTTAAAGCTAGGCCAAACAATCAGCATTTTAACTGTTTTGGTTTTTGATATTTGAAGCTTGGTGGGGTTCAGATGAGGACAACTTGACTTTTATTTGAGTAGTTGCAATGAGTTACAGACCTTAGCAATGGTACGTGCAAATATTTTTGCTCTTTGGAAATAAAGTGTTTACCTCACAAGAAGAGCAGCTTTGTCCTTTGATCTCAGTTGATCCTCTGAGAAGTAGAACTGTTCATCTGATTAAAACCAGTCTTCATGGGATTTGCTCTTTTAAAGTTTGATACTTGATGGAATGATTGGACATCACAGCTGTTGAGTGAAAATGCTTCCCACCTGCACCATGAGATAAGGCCAAGGCCAAGTCCAGGCACCTGTGCAGGGATTTCAGAGGATTTTACTTGTGCAGGGCTGTCAGGTTATCTGGGAAAAGCCTAAGCCCTTTTTTGGCATTTCAAAGTGGAGTCCCAGAACTGCTACAGTCTTCATGAGGCTGGGTGCTTGGGCCTTCAGTGTATGCTTATGTCCACTGGGGACCCAAAACCTGTGTTCTTCCTTCTCATATCTGCTGTGATGCTGACATGCAGAGACCTGTCCTGAAACTGTGCCTAGTGATAAGCTTCATAGTGTACCTACTGCTTTTGGTCCTTCCTGAAGTGGAGGGGGGCTTTCTCATAATACCTTCCCAGTTAGAGAGCTGGCACAGTTATGTGTTCCCTTCTCTCCAGGAAATCATTCTGACCTCTTATTTTTATTGCCTCCTTGAACCCTCAGCTAGGAAAGGAAGGGTCACAGGTGCAGAATGTGATCCAAGATCTGTTTCCATTTCACATGAAGAATTTGGACAAAATGGTTACAGATGTGTTCTGTGTATGAGAGCTTCTGCCAAAGGAATAATACCATATTCTCTAGTAACATTGTTGAGTCCTTTCTAGGCAGTAGTCGAGCTTGAGGGGACAGAGGAAAATCGTCCCTGTTCAGGCTATATTGCAGCTTAGTTGCTAGGATGCTCTTGAAACTGGGAGATGGAAGTTGTGTGCTCATGCCCTGTATTCCTTGGATCTTACATTTTAAAAAAGGTGGCCTGGCCCTTGCTGCCCTGAGGCTTTAAAGGGAGGAAGGATTACTCCTTTACTTCTGGGTAGGGGCCCAAGGCAGAACGCAGACCTATGGCAAGAAGCGTGTTCTCAGCATATTGTCTTCCTGCCACCTTTGATAGTGACCTGAATTTAAGATGTTGTCTGAAGTGACCACACACTTAGGAGTGTAATGGTAGCACACTGCCTGGTTTGGATCCTGTTCTCATGCCATTGCATGGATTATTTGAGGTGCTGTGCTGTTTTTTTGGTGCTCTCTGTGGGATCACGGATTTCTGACTCTGGGTTCTAGATAGCTTTCTGTGGGCCACTATTAATTTTTAGGTAGCTGTAGCCATTTGAGCCACTCTTCAAATACTGGAAGTGGAGTTCAACAGTACCTGAACTCTACGGCTCTTTGTCCTGGGGTTAGCAGTAGCAGTCATTTTTCTCCTTCTTAGTAGCTGGTGCAGCGTTGTGGTTTTGACTTTTGGCCTGGGAACAGAGCTGATAACACCGATGTTTTTAGTTATTGCTCAAATGTTTGGTCTGGCCAAAGATTTTGTGAGCCTCATGCTCTGCCAGGGAGGAGGGAAAGCCAGGAGGAAGCAGAGACAGGACACCTGACCCAACCTAACCAAAGAGGTAACCACAGCCCGTATGCCCAGGATGTACTGATACCCGGATAGGGACTGCGGGGTTGTTATCAGTTGCTTCGTTGGGGTGGGGGGGGGGAATGTGGTTGGCTGGTGCTGAGGTGTTGTATTCTCTTCCCTTGTTATTTCCTTTATCATTATTATTATTGGTGGTAGCAGTAGTGATTTGTGTTATACCTTAGTTACTAAACTGTTCTTATCTCAACCTGTGGGAGTTCCATTCTTTTGATTCTCCTTCCCATCCCTCTGGGAGTGGGAAGGGGGGGGGGGGGGGCGGGGAGGAAGGAAAGAAAGAGGGAGGAAAGGGGGGGAGTGAGTGAACGAGCTGGCTGGCTGGGTTTAAACCACGACAGTATTTTTTTTTTTTTTTTTTTCAGAAACTATGGTTTTGCTGGGTAATGTTTTAGTATTTAAATGCCATCCTCAAATTCCAAGGAACATAGTAATTAGATATGTTGGGTTGTTCATTGACATGAAATGTGAGCAATTTTCTGGCAGTGGGTGTGACTTAGTGTTTTCCAAATGCCAGTGTTTTGAGATGCTCATGCTCGTTGAGATCCTTGTGTTTAGGTTAGACCTGCTTTTAAGATAAATCGTTTGCAATGTTGGGCCATAGTTTAGCACCACAGGAGGAATGAGCATCGTTCCACTAAGTGTGTCTCTATACCTGAACTAAAAAGTTCTTGGTGGACAAGAAATGGTATAGCTGAGCCGAAGATTGTTTTTCCCAGTTCCTGTTTCTGTAGGTTGTAGTAAAGCATAAGGCAATGGGGAGGTAAATGTAGTTGCTGTGTATTTCTGTTGATAAATACTTAGTTTGATTGACCATATTTGTTTCTTTTTTGCAGGTCAAAGAATTTTTGAGCATGTTATAATCCTCTTTGAAGCACAGGCAGAGTCAAACTGTTCCAAACATCTGCACGACCAAAGCCTGAAGTGCAGCTTCTGCTTTTATAGAAGGCCTCTGGAGAGGCAGGACTCAATCCTGTTGATTTAATTATGAGGAACAAACAAGCTTTGTGAATAGGAAATTATTTAATAAATCACTAGGTCTGTTCAATATTTTATGAAGTAATACACACAAATTCTGAAGATACTCAAATTCCAAGAGTTCCCAAATGTTTTGCCTGTTTCTAATCAGACCATTAAGTTCTGGAGTATTTAATTTTATTTTTTTAAATTTATTTTGTGCCCAATAGCTGTTTAATGTTCAAGAAGTAGTGGGTTTTTAGATCTCTTGACTGTTTTCAGTGGAATTGACTGGTAGTGGTAGTGGATGTCTCATTGTTCTGAGGAAGGAAAAATTAAACCCCATTTTTGCTGCTGAGGGAATTGTAACACAACCTGGAGTTTTATATTGTAAGGTATAAAAAAATGTCATCTGACAGTTTTGATAGATGAAGTTCTGCATAGAATGCATTGAAATAAACCAAATCCAAATATGGCTGAAATGCTGTAGGTATTGAATGAGGTTTTGATTGTGCACTGCAAATGAGGATATTGAGAGGCTTTCCATTGTCCAGCATATTTGGTGTCTTCCCCCTCCCCACCCCAAACTCTTAATACAACACAGATGCTTTTGTTATAGCTAAGTCATCTTCTTCTCGGGAGGAGTATATTTGCTTGATGGGTACTGTAAAAGGAAGAGCCTTTTGCAAAGGGCCTCCATCTGTAAATTACTTGTTTCTAACCCTTCCCTTAATTGTATTTTAGGTGTCAGACGTGGCTTCCTGCTTTTCTCCCAGCTTCTCTATTTGTTCACTGGGCTTTCTGGGTGTTTACATGAGATCTGGCAATACTGGCAGTAGGCTGTCCTTGTTGTTTCTCATACCTGAGTAGTAAGAAGGGGAGACATTTGTGGAGTAGCTGCTGCTCTAGTGCATCGTGTTTTATTGACTGAACCATTTTTGTTTCAGGTGCAGAAAAGACAAACTATACAGGGTGCACATCTCACTACAGTGTTTTATGAGCTGCTTTCTTCTGCTTAAAACATTTCTGAATGATTGCACAGTTGGGTTTTGAATGCCAGAGTTTATTGTAAAGCATTTTATTGTAAAGCATTTTATTGTCTGCTGTGGTTGCCTGTGTTACCAGCAACTTTGAGATGCAGTCTCTTCCTTTGCGGTTGGTATTGTGCTGGCATGCTCTAAACTTTGGCTGAAAAATAAAGGTGGTTGGAAAGACTTTTTCAATGTTTGGCTCCTGGTCTCATAAAAGAAATGATGTTGTAGATTGGGATGTATAATACTGGTACAGCAAAGGAATTTGGGAGTATGTGTTCTCAGTGAATTGGGTGTCCCAAGTCCTCTAAGATTTCTGAAACACTGTGACTGGCTTCATTTTTTTTTTTTCACATGTGAAAAATGTGTTTATGGGATAGAGACACAGGATTATGTAAAATGTGTCATATGTATAACTTACTGATCAATAAAAATGGTTGTGTAGTGTTTATGTTACTGTGGAATGTAGCAATAGTATGGTAGAAAGTCTCATTTTGGACTTCCAGATTGCCTAGCAAAAGGAAAGCTTTTAAGATCTTTGCTCCAGAAATGAAGTGAGGTGGAATGGATGAAGATTCAGTTTGGCTTTTTCTTGAAGTAAACAGCAGAAGCCTTTAAAACAGTCTTGGCAACAGTCTGAACAGTAGCAACTTACTTTGACTAAGAGTGCAATTATTCCTACAGTTTCAGCTGTCAAAATTGTGGATTTAATTACAGAATTGGAATGACAGTGCTCTTTGACAGGAGTAAACAAGCATGAGCTCTAATAAAGACTTCTTTCTGAACCCATCACAGAGCACATAGAAATTCTGTGGCAGGTTATCTGCATCCTGTTCCAGAAAGCCTTACAAAAATCTGACCGCTAAGTTGCGGTTTGAAGGATCAAAGTCATGACCAATTATTAAACTGCGTTTAATTGCTGTGGAAAAAAAGCCACCAACCAACCCAAACCACAGACCCCACTCACCCCAAGCTTCTCAGGGCTTTGAAAGCAGCTGGGCTGAGCTATGTGGAGCTGCAGTTATTTGGAAGTAGGGCAGACACAGCATCAACAGCCGCGGAGATGTCCTCCTGTTCTGCCTGTGCGTCAGCTGATAGCGCGCAGCTCTTGACAGTACCTCAGACTTCAAATTTGTCAGTATTCTTTCTTTTGCTGAAACCTATTCCCAGGCTGCCAGACAACAGGATTGTTGTGTTGCTTTTTTGACTATTAGAAAGATTTCTGAACTGATATCTACTGTTTGGTGATGATGTTTTTTCTGTCTTCGAGTGCTGTGTCCCTTTCTCTTCCCCTGGGTACGAGAGACTTTGATGCAACTGGCTAGAAATCCTTGCTTGTTTTAACCAAGTGTCCTCACAATCAGGAATAAAGTTGGTATGTGGGTTTTGTTATGTTTTTCTCAGGATACAGATTAAAATACTCATTGGTAGTATTTAATTGCTATGCAAGTATATGTGTGAGCAAGGGACATAATATTGCCTCATTTTATTTTCTGTCCTTGTAGTTGTTTTCTGTATAGTGATAGATTTTAAGTTCTCTTACTTCTTAGTATAAATTCTTAGAACAGCAACCAATTTTGTAGGTAAAACTTCATTTTCTATTACTTTGTGCTTGTTACTTATTTCTACTGTCTTCTGTTAATTTAAGCATTGGATTAAGAGGTGATTAATATTGAGATTATTCTTTTGTTTTTCCAGTAATTAAAGAATCCAAGAATCTATTTGTGAAATAAAAATGATGCAGGAGAAACTGACCATAAACTGTTTAAGCATGGACCAGGGAAGTATGCACGTAGTAATAATTAAATTCTATCTTAGCAATTGCACACCATTTCCTATTGCCAGGAGGCTTCAGCATAGCTAGGTGTTAGGACTCAAAGGGTGCTTTCCCAGCTCTCATTTAAACTCATTGTATGACTGTGATTAAATCACTCTTTGCCTCCTTAAATTATCGGTATCTCCCTACATCTTCAGAAGGCTGTGAGGATTCATTAGTTATGTTGAGGTGCTGCTTTGTAGGTCTGAAGATTAGACATTGGGGAAAATAGTGTTCATTATGAGGGTGGTGAGGCACTGACACAGGTTGGCTGCCCCATTCCTGGCAGTGTTCAAGGGCAGGTTGGATGGGGCTTGGAGCAGCCTGGTGTAGTGGAAGGTGTCCCCCACTGCCCATGGCAGAGGATTGGAACTGGTCTCTTCCAGTCCAAATCCTGCTTTTAGATTTCTCACTGGGATATTTTGATGCTGTCATGGAAGGGGCCACTTGCTGAGGTTCATGGCCAATAGGAATTACTTTTGTTTTGAAAGCTACTCAAAGCCATCAGTGCGATGCCAATTGTGTTGAAGTTATTTCATTTCTAGAAGAACATGGCCACCAAAACCTGTCACTGTTTGTGAGGAAAGGAAACTTACTGCAATTTGATATTGAGAGATAAATGGATGTCAAAAGCTGTCTGCAGTCCCTGCTGCTAGTGGCAGTGATGAAGCTATGTGCAGAATTGCCACAGGAGGTCATTCGGTTCTCACCGTGCTGCCTGCGAGAAGAGTGTTAATGCTTTAACAGTGAATGGCTTTAGAAAAGGTAAAGAAGAAAGAGCTTTACCACAGCAAGACCATAAAAGTGATTAATAAATACTGAACGAGATAAATCTTGATCTCTGGAGGGAGTGGAATAAAACAAACCCCCACTGGATTAAGTGAAAGTCTACTCAAAGCTGAGGTGATAGGAGAGTTTTGACACCAGAAGGGATGCCCTACAACCACCAGCTGCTTCTGTTCTGTGAGTAAACATTAGTGCATGGTTAACAATAATCCTGGTATGTCTGAGTACCAACTGACTGCCAGTGCTGAGATATTGGGCCCAAATGCAGACAATGAGCAGTACTAATGCTGGCAGTGTAGAGCAATGACCAATTTACTACCTGGAGCCACTTACAGTACTTTGTGTGCCAAATATTCCCCTCAGCTGGGTACGCATCCTTTGAAATTCTGCCTGGTATCTAGTAAAGACAAGGAGCACAGATTTCCTACTGTGTGTTAGCAGTTAAGCAATTTATTTGACCTTAGGCTGGTACTCAGTGTGGGTGTACAATCAATGTAATATGCAGAGCCTCAAAGTTGAGCCTGTTGTGTGTAGGTGGCTTTTGTTGGTTTTAGGTCTAGGTTTCAGTCCATGGCCATAAATAATATAATAGCAGCAACAATAAGAATAGTGGGCATGCTAAATTGGGATATAAGCTATTGCCCTTTGCTTGGATTGCTGCTGGCTGCTCTTCCCCGTGCCTTAGACAGTGTGTAAGTTACATATGTGTGTCTGCAGAATACCAAGATTGTCCAGCTTGCACCATGTGTTTTTGCTGGCTAATAGTACTGACTGACTTAGAGAAAGGCAGCGGGTTCCTTAGACTTATTTACAGAGATACTGTTGCTGCAGTTCTTTGAGTACATTCCTCTTTCTCCAGACTCTCCTGTCCTGCATTTTGTGCCTTTCTCTTCAATTTCCTTCTCAGTTGTTGTGGCTTGTCTTAATAACTACTAAAACCAATCTGTAACAGACTTGTTAAAGCCCAAATTTCACTGGTATGCAGCCTACTTGAGGATCTGGCTTCTGCTGCTCTTCCAGTTTGCTATCTTAGCTTTTCTGGCCCTCTTTTCTGAACAGTCTTTCTGTGTTAGCCCCCTGGAGTGCTGGGGCTCTTCCTAAGCCCTCCTGCTTTCAGCACTGCCTATTGGCTGTATGCTGACAGCATGCTCTTTTCTTCATAATGATGTTCAGATTTGCCTTTGCAAGTTTACTAAAATGACAGCTATTGCTGTTTCCCCTGTGCTTTTGGCTAGCTGTGGCTGTGGGTCTAGCTCATGGCCTTTATCCCCTGATCTTCTCAGCTGTGTACAGTGGCCTCAGGTCATTGACTGTTCAGTTGCAGAAGGTTGCTGGTCCCTGTGTCCCCTCTCTGTTGTGCCTCAGGAGAGGATCTGCTGTCACAGAGAGCAGGACTTGAGTTTTTAGGTATCTGTTTCTGATGGGCTACTCTGCTTGTTTCCTGAGGGTTGACTGCAATGGTCCAGTGTAATTGGGTAGGTATTTCATGTGTGTCCCCATGTTGTCAGGCTCTTTGCTGTCTGCTTTAGTACTGTCTAGGGCATAGGTATTGCATCAACTGACTAAAAAGCATATCAAGTGGGGCTGCTGTTGCAGTGTGCTGTGTCTGTGGTCTGATCAGCACTTGTTAGGATGCTGTAGCTTTGATGGCCTGCTTTAATTGCAGTTCTTGCTGGAACATGCTTGAAACGTGTGATTGGTAGGCTTGCTGAGTATTCGGACAAAGGAATATAGCTCCATTTTGTGGAACTGAGCAGCCTGAGGGCTTGGGAAGTTAACTGAGACTCCTCGAGGCTGGGAGCCCTCCTTTTCTCAGGCAGTCTCTATTTTCAGCATGCCTCATAATATT